ACATATGTAATATATTCTTGGTTTCTTCAAGATAACACTGCCGTGTTCGTAATCAAACGTAATCAAATAATGCATTGTTACGGCTTGTTTTTTTGCTATGGAAGGCAGTTCTTATTGCAGAAAGCCAGCTGAAGCTGCAAATTATGCTGCTGAGAAGAAATTATTTGTCGCACTTGAAAAAATTTATGCCCGATATCGAGGAAATAAAGAAGTTGCTCCAGTTGTTACACAAATTTTGAATGCTACAAGGAAGGCCTGAAATCATTTCAGCATTATTGTTTCTGTGTTATCATCCACCAGTTTTGCCAGGGCTTTCAGTGCAGCATTTTCCTTTGATGGATAAAACATATATTGGACTTAGCTAAACATGTTTTTGAAGCCGAATCACGAGACTGCTGTTAAATTTTTTTAAAATTCATTTACTGATTACTTGTTAGTGGAACACCTGAAAAATTATGGGTCATAAGTTCACATGACGAATTGGAATAGATTAATATTTATGAATATGATTATTCCAGTAGTCATGGTACAGTCACTTCTACCTTCTGCCATTTCTCAAGAAAATGTGAAGCGGTTGAAGATTTTATTCCTTCTCACAGTTGAAAAATAGCGCATTAGCTTTGTTAGTAGAGCTAATTTTGGGCATGTTTTTATATGTTTCCTGTTGTAATTTTCGAAAAGTATAAAATCCATTCATCTTTGATACACTCTTGCAAGTTCCTTAGTAAATTTGAGCTATTCTTTCCATGCAGCGATATTTTTGCTTCTTTATTATGTATACATGGAATCTTCGGTTGCTATTTTGAAAATTGGATTTATTAAATCCCAGTAAATTCAACTGATTTCGGTATCTTCCGGAGAGTTATCTTTCAAGTTCATTGCTGTTGCAGAAGTACAGTTCCGAAAATATAATTCACAACTGGCACACCATTGCGACATTTGTAATCTGTTCGAGATGTTCACGGTTCACTTTTAATATCCAGTCATCCATTCGAACATTCTTAAGTCCCGTAACAATTTTAGAATAAAGGGGACACCTGTTAACATGTTATTAAAATCTGAAAACACAGCTACTTCTCGAATACGCGAAAGGAGGCGGAAACGTATTTTGCAAAACTCCGATCAGCGCATTAGGAGTATCTTGAGTGGACCAGATGGAAGTTAGTTTACGTTTTTCATTTATTTGTTGTAAAAAGTTGAAAATTGTTGGTTTATCTTAATTTCTAGCATGTTTAGCGGAGGCGCGAAATGCACCTGCAATGGAAGGTGGAGAAGGTTTCAAAAATTTGGTACATTCATCTGAAACTTCACTGAGGTGAGATACTGTATTTTTGGCAAGATATATGGCCATGTATTAATGTTTTTTATTAAAATTCTCCATGTTTCTATCCTAATTGCATATTTTATTGTATCTCTGGATGATTTCATGAATAAAACTAATGAGGAAGACATGGCAACGAATAAATCGATAGCGTCGTCTTTCTTTTCGTGTACGTCAGTGAGTCGTTTATGGAAAGCTTTACTTCTTGGTATGTTCCGTAAAGTTTATACATGAGCACCTCTCTTTTGTTACGGGATTTGTTTTGGAGTATTTCTTTAAATTAGTGGTGGTTATTTTCATCTTCCCGAATCGATTCATGAATTATGTTTTCAAACCCATTGAGACTCCATGCAACTAGTGTAGCTATACTTTTTGAAAGTTGCGGGATTTTAAATCATAAAAAGGAGTTTCTTTTAAAGCATCTCAATTATTACGTATATGTTTCAGGCTTTCCGAATTTCATCTTTTCGTTATAAATATAGTTTTCTTTCTGCAGTATAAATCCTCTTTGTTCAATTAATTCATTTGCAAAAAAAAAGATTTATGCTGCAGGAATAGCTTTTCGAACTTGATTGCTTCAGTTTTAGGATTGATTATGCGATTGGCGATTTCCTTTTTGTTGATACAGAATATCATCTGGCCGTGGACTATTCTTTACATAATGTCCGTATGCAAAGGATTTTTTCAGGTTTCATATTTATATATTTTTTATAAGACATAAGATTTAGAAGTCTTGAAGTTACAGAAATGTTTTATATAAGTTAGGGAATAGTATTTCCTCAGAAAAAATTGTCTTCTAATCAGATGACTACACATGAATTTAATGGTTAACTAATTATATGATTTTTTTTAAACAATAATGTTTTGACTAACAAGTTAGACTGAATTAGTTTTAGCTTTCATCACTATGCGATGTTGATGGTCAATTTTCTCGTTCAAGGCTACGTTTGGGATTGACTGTTGATCTTTTATCACATGCAGGTTCGTTATAACAATATAAGAAAACAGTAGTTTTATTTATTTTTCTTTTTTTGGTTTTCATTTCTTAGTCGTGTTCAAATCATATTTCAGGTGCTGTTGTTCAAAATATATGGTGTTTCATCAAAGATTCTTTAGTGATTGCTTTGTCCTTTATATTATTCAACGCACTTTTTTGCATTTTAACTTTGGTTTTTGGTAAATGCTGCGCACTGTAGACTGTTTTTGAGGCCGGTTTTATGGGCCCTCAGTAGTCCTGTTTTCCTTTAATACTATTTCTGCAATTAATAAAAACATTTTGCGATCAAAACTTGAAGTCAAGGTAAAATAGTATCCTTTGTAAACTGTTAACTATTCCCAATATTTTTAACCTTTTTGAGTAACATGTATAGTCACGTCACTCCGTGATCTAAATCATTCATTTTATGATTAAGTATAAGGTTCACATGTTTTTTCAAATGTAAATATAATCTACTCTCTTCCTGTGTTTGGTTTCTGTCTTCGTTACATGCTACTTGGTCTACTGATAAATGCTGGATTCTATGTGCTCTTAGTACATATATGTGCACATAGTCCTTCGTCTAAGCTACCATCTCCCTGCTACCCTTACATATTTGGCAAATAGCTGTTACTTACTTGTTCATCCCTGGGGAAGCCATTTTCAGCTTCTCTGAAATAGATCTTTCGTGGTACATAGCAATGGAGGGATTAGTTTTTCCCTCCTTGTATAACCATGAAAAGGATCGATAGTAATTGATCCACGAAATATGCCTTTCACAGAGTCAAAAAATCCCATCGTCACCTGGTTGACTTCATCAATTATCATTGAAATAAACAGCAGTTTAACATCGGCTTTGATTTTAAAGTCATGTAACAAATCGACTTCCTCTGTTACAGGAGGTTGTGTTCATTTTGAAAGTATTTTAAACATACTTAAGCGTTAATTCATTTTTCTCATCTGGCATTATGAAATTGTAATCGTAACCTTCTTAATGCACAACGAATGCTTGACTAGGTTTTCCCGGTATTTCAACTATCTTGGAACAAACCTTTACTTTGAAAACCTTCCGTAGTTGATGTGGTTATAATGCGGAAAAGCTGCGCATTAACCTTGCCATCCTTTGCATCTGTAAACTTGTTTATCATAAGTGTTTCAAAACTTCTTGCTGTGCTTCAGTAGGTGCAGTAAAAAAACCACGGATCTGTCTGAATTGGTGCAGATTTCTCTATTCGAGATGCACCACTACTCTGTCAGCTTGCGCACGACATATTACCACCCAATAATTGTGGGGTACTTGTCCTGCTGACTTCTCTTACGCTTATCTTCAAATGGAGCTTTCCAAACTATTCAAATCTTGAAAAGTCTTCACTTTTTAAAAGATTTAAAATTTTTGTTTTTCTGAAAAACAGTCGAACAGTAGCATTTGTGTTTTCGTTTTTTTCGCTTGTTGGGTACTTAACCGTGATAATGCAAGTAGTAAGTGGTTGCACCTGCATGATTGTATTTGTTGTGATGCGTATCGTCAGTCGAAATTCCAAACGACCCATTTTGTTAACAATCATTATCTAATCTTTTTGACATTTATGTACCGGCACAACTCGCAATTTACTGTTCGTAGGTCTGTTTTATTATTTGGTGTATTGTCTTTGCGTGACGGTGCAGACACATGCAATAAATAAAATGGTTAGGCATGATTTTCTGTGACATTGTGTATGTTTGACATGCATTTGACACCAAAGTAAATTGGTCAACATCTCCGTTGAAAATACGATTGGTTAGAATGACGACGTGCAGGTTTTTTTTTATATTTTAATTTGCTGAAATGGAGAAAGAAGATGGCAACATTTGATATGCCTGCTATGTTTTTACAATTTTACTTTTGAATAACAGTTTGTATTTCTGCTGCTTATTATACATTTAGTTTCTTTCTTTTCCATGTTATATATGTGTATAATGATATCTGTGATACAAGTTATGTCGGTGTGTTTGGACTTGGTGGCTCCTATTTGTTTGGCCAATTTTAAAAAGGCTCATAACATATGCAATTAATATTTGAAATCATTTCTCGTCATAGAAGGAGTGGGGAATTTCTCAGACTAGCCGGAAATTTTCCAACTCCACATACTTTTGGAACTATTATTAGTGGCACTAATTACGATCCGGTGAAGAAATGATTGGTTTGAGGGACATATAACAGCATTTAAAGCTTTCTCCCATGATTATCCGGAAATCTTCACAAAGTTAATTTCAAAAATACAGTGTAGGAACCAAATTCTGTTTGGAGATTGAATTTTAAGCTGATGAATTCATATGAGCTACCATTAAGTAACGAATTTAAAGTATTGAGTTATAACGTGGAAATGCTTGGAATTTGAAGATTATGAACGGTTTCGACAATACACGTCAGCAACATTTCCATTTCTTGAGATTAATTGTCGTAGAATGGATGGGTAATCATCGGAAGCTTGAAGTATTTTAGAACACAAAGCCATTAAAACTCATTGAGCAGGGATTGTATATTTCCAGTTAAGATAAGGCAGGTAAATCAGTGTCTCTTCAAAAAGCAATCATCGAATTTAATAAAGTCAATCCATGGATTTAGGGAACAAGATGTTTTGGAATGCACTGTAAGGGAAATCATTCCCGCAGTTCACAATCCGCTCTTTTTAATGAAATCGACAGAAAAGTGAGAATGATCAATTAGAGTGCTAATTCACTACTTTGGCTGTTGTGAAGCATTTAACAATATAATGATTGATTGTCATGTCACTCATCCATCCCCTTCGGTCAGATATTACCATTTCACATCAGCCTCCATTTGCATTTGCGCTTTTAATACAGTATGGATTACTAAATGTCACTGTATTAAATGCCAACGGTTTGCTTTACTGAGTGAATCATTCCATTCTAAATAGTAGTATATTCTTCAACAGTCGTGCCCACAGCTACTTTTATTGCCAGTTGTCTAAAAGACGAGCGTTTTATTTACCATTGGCATGTGATCACCTTTTTTCCTGACCTGATTTCATTCTTCCACATTCGTTTTTGTTTGAATTAATTGTTAGTCCCTCCAATCGGTGACAAATCTTTGCTCTTTGCTGGAAAGAACAGTTATCTTTTTTTTACATCAATTCAACCGAAATATGGCCCATTTGATTACCAGCCTAAATTGTTCATATATATTATAAATTATAATGCTATATAATGTAATTGGTATAGGTGAATGGAAGGTCCACTAGTGAAATTATATGGTATTTTTAGGAGCTGAAGCTAAACGATATAATTAAGTCAGCCATAGATCGATTTTATGCTGACGTTATTCTGCAACTTTCAATAATCTGGAATTTGGGTCATTAGAAACTTCGTATAATTGACTAATGAATGTTGACATAATTGATGAAGAGAATTTTTACAAAAAACGGCATGCTTGTATATGTTTGCTTAATTAACCCTCAAAAAAAAAGTATAATTGGATGCAAAACTTTCATCCCGTTAAATGAGAAAAACGCATTTCTTTCCACATGCTTTAAGCTGTACTTATGTTGGAGAAAAAACGGGGTAATGCAGAAATTTTTTTCTTTGATATTTTAGTTATTTTGAGAACGAAATAAAAGTAAGGAGTTTTTACGATTCGTACTGTTTTATTTTTGTTGGTAAAATAATGGTTATTGTTGCATGTGTTTTACAATGGAATGCTAGATGAATCCGATAATTGGCGGCGATGTCAGGCAGAAATATGATAACGCGCTTACCAGCAATCGAAATTACCCTTTGTTTTTTGGTTTGGATAGTACATTGTTTCGCGGCATTTTACATCGCGTGGAATGTCTCTTTCAGTTTTCGCCACAAAATAGCTCTGAAAGCTAGCGAGTACGGTTCTGAAGTGTAAAATTCGAATTCTATTCATTCAAGCAAAAAAATTTTCATCAGCAAAATTAGACCACTTTGTTGATGAAAAATCGAAGCACTAGGTAGTGCTGCATTATGCTGCACTGCATTATACTTCTTGTCCCAATTCACTACAAATTTTTTCACCGCTGGTACAGTTATCACTGAAAACCGGTAAAAATCCTTAGAATCCAGAAACAATGCAGATATCATCCTTTGAATAACGCATAATTTTAGATATATAAATGATTACGAAAAAGACCATACCGATTCTGAATGGGAATTTTACTGCAAATCGCTAAACCGAATATTGATCATCAATATTTTACACATGGGTAATTCAGCCGCCTATTCCATACAGCATACTTTTCTAGTCCTTTTTTTTTGTTTTTCTTTTCCAATCAATGGAATCTGTCAAAATTGTCCTAATTTGACATCTGTTGCAGTGCTGTTCAAAATTTGTCCATTTCTTCTACCGAAACGTTTATCACAGTGTTTATTACTGGTATTTTGGGTTGCTGCAGAAGTCTTCTTCACAAGGTTAGACTGATAGCTATAAATAATTTTTGTTTTTTAAATTCAAACTATGGTTCATTACCCAAGCATTGGAAGACACAAAGTCACACCGATAGCTTCCCGTTGAAAATTCTATTTTAATTTAAATACTGTAGAAATAAATAAATTTCAGTGCCACTTGCGTTACAGTTGTATTCATCCTGGCTGTCGTAATGGGTATTCTAGCGAAATACTGGCGCAATGAACTAGTTTATTGGTTCATCCTCATAATGTTTATAGTCAAAATTCATTCAATCATAAATTTCGATAAAATTGCAGATGTTTATTACAGAGAATTCAATTATTACCTGTATAGCGCCATAAAGGTTAGCTCTCCTTCCTATTTGTTATTCAAATTACTGTCTTTATCTACTTCAAACTCTTTAAGACTACATCCTTTTTCGAAATTTAAGGTCCGCTTTCTCATTGAATGACCTGTTTATATTGCAGATTCTTAATTTTTGCATTTATTTATTACGAACGAAGGACATAAACATCACTCCATCCTTATTTTTCCGTTATATGCAATACATATTTTATCCGCCATACTCAATTGTTCTAATTGTTCTATTTAATGATTTTGATGCAGAAATGGCAGAGATTGAAAACGGTTCCGCCAAATGCATTAATTGCAGGTTTATCATTGATTTTTTTTTTTTTTTTACTATAAATCTACTCCTTCTAGGCAATCAAGCAAACGACTGTACAGAAGAGGAACTTTTGGAGCTAGGACAAAAGTAGGGCTTAGCTAATTTAGTAAATTCATAAATTCTAGATAATGATTGACTGCGCCAAAATTTCAAATGATTTCGACGATTAATCTTCACCACAAGCAAAAAATGTTTAAAAAAATTTTTTAAAAGGTTTTTCAATATACAAAAACTGCATTCCATTTAAAGACAGCAAGCATCCCATTTAAAGATAGCAAGCATTCCATTTAAAGACAGTGCATGGAACTTACTGAAAAATCATTGTTGACGAAATTGTTGCGTATTTGTTTATGAGAATGAGCACTACGTCTCACTCAAAAGATCTAAAACAATATCGGACATTATTCATTTTATCATTCACTAATGTTATTCCTCATTATATATATATATATATATATATATATATATATATAT